AGAAGCTGGACTTCTGTAGCCTTTGTCCCTGGATTTACACTACATGCGTCTCWGCTGTGCTGCAGTGCACAGTTCGCAGCTATTCRTTTGTGTCTCAATTAATACAGTGTCCGCAGCTCTCAGCTCCAGTCCGACAGACAGAGGAGGGAGGGTGTGCAGGAAGTAGAACGCGCGATAAATCCACTGATAAAAGTAGAAGTCAGAGCAAAAAACAGTTAATTCTGTGAAAAACAAACTCCAAACAGCTGAAAACATTGAAATAAAGGCTTTTGATATCTATGGTTGAAACTGTATCGCTGGCGTCTTTTTGAAACTTTGGATTTCAAAATAAAATCCACGTGTATCGTGAGTGTACACATAATGCTTCATCCACATGCTTCCTTCTGCTTCCCAAACAGAACGATACATCCTGACAGCATTTGTGTAGAAATATATCCATATACTGATTAATATAGCTGCAATTTTGACATTATTCCGACAAATTATTCCACCTAATAGGGTCTTATTTTGTAAATACGGAGGTTGTGCTCATTTCTTTTCCTGTTGGTGCGACGTAATCTTTAAAAATTTACTCTGGCGCAGCACCGGCGTCCGGAAAAAAATAGGATATCTTCTAATTTTGGCGGATCGCCATCCACTCACCACCGCCATTGCAGCCAGTGTAAACACTTTCATTGATTATAATGGGTGCGTATTTGCTGCGGAGGTCGGGCCGGAGCGGAACGCATGTAGTGTAAATTGAGGGTTAATCTCCCCGTAATTGTTGAAACAAGGACTAATGACCCTCATGAGTCCTTTCACCAGTCCCTTCTCATAACTATTTTAAGGAAATTTTTTGACTCAATTTTTTATGGCATTTTCAAAACTCCGATGACAAGACTGTGAGCTGGACAGTACAAATACATGTTGGGTTAATTGGTCTCTAAATTGTCACTAGGTGTCGTTGTGTGTGAATTGCTGGCTGTCTCATCTACAGTGGACTTTTGATTTTTTCAGGGTTGTACCTCAACTCTCACCCAGTAATTGAAAAAATAACTGAATGGATGCTTGACACAAGACTGAGAGCCTCTAAACTGAGAAAACTAAGACTCCCATGACTATTTTGAGACATTTCATAACTTTAGAGACTCCCACATGAATGCTATTCAACTAGCCACCAACAGTATCTGCCCAATATGCTACCTTATGTAACCTGAAACATGTTAACATTTTAACTGGTCTATGTGAGTGTAATTGTGCTGTGAGCTATCAGTTTAAAAATGTAAGTAGGCTGTGTGGTTGTGCTGTCAGTTTACTCCATATCCACCGGTGAGCGTTGCTTCAGAGCTGACTCTGCAACAGCGATCTGTTTAATGTGTCTGAGGATGTGTGTGTGTGTGGAGGGGGTGTACGGTAGGCTAGAGAAAGCCCAGTTTTGATAGGCATGCCTTCGCCGATGGGTTCCACACAAAGTTAGTAAATGCGCGGCAATAGATTCTGGTTGCCCACTTTGTGAAAAAAGCAGATTACTTGTCATAGTTTAAGTTGAAGCACTGGCTGCAMGGTGTATAAATAAAAATAAAGCAGTCAATCTGGGCACCTCTTACACAGTTTGTTTAGTCATAAATACAGGTAAAAAGCACCTCGCTGAAGAAATGACAAACATGTTATACTGCAGGCATAAAGCTAAGTCTAAAGAGGATTTTTTGCTGACTTTAATAYGTGGCAGAAAGCACATCATGCTCAAGGATTTATAGTAGTGTAGATATAGGAAGAAAAAGGGATGAAAATCAAAGTAAATGTTATACACTATATTTTCTTCCTGACAACTGATGGTTTTCTGGACTTCCGTTTTCAGTTTAACACACAGCAGATGTTTGCAGAGAATTAAACCTTTATTTAAGGGGTAGCACTAGACTGATATCTAATTTATTAAGATGCATTTATCCCTGCAGTYGGAGCCGTATTAGGAATAAAGCTCAACCAAATAGATGGGTCATACATCATTGAGCATTATTGTGCTGTGCTGTGACTCAAACACAAATTGGATTACCTGTGCACCCACGCAGATCACACGAATTGGACAAGCACAGGCATAAAGGCCGTACATACACAAACATAAAGAGGCACATAAACTCTCATATGCTCTCTGTGGCTAATGTAAATGATGTAAAATGTGAAAATGCATGGGGGTTTTAATGACCTTGCTGTAAAGAGAGTCTGCTTCAGAGATGCATGCATCCACAAACGCACACATGCACTCTGCAGGTTTTTTTTTTGTGCTGCAACAGTAAATGACACATTATTGTGATGTACAGCGGAAGACCACATCGCATAAAAGGTCGACGTGATGGAATCTCTCTGTGAAGCTGCTGGCCTTGACACGCAAAATCAGATCCTAAAACTGTTTATAGCACCGTGAAGCCAGACACCATCCCTCTTTTCCTGTAAACAAAGCACTAGAACCTTGTGATTTACAGGCAAGATATCCAATAAATCTGGATAATCATTAGTCTAAACAATCCATTTCTGGATTCGGGACTTTCAGAAGACTATTTTTCCCTTTTATCGCAGCCTGTTGGCTCACGCCTGATATTTACCATAATGATTCTCACTATTAAGGAAGCAATAAAGAACGAAGATTCCAGGAATTTACAGATGATGAATAATACCCAATTAGTCAGTGGCTGTATGGTCTAAAAGGAAGCTGTAATGAAACAGGTAAAAAAATAATAATAAACAGGTCTTCTCAAAAATAATCTGTGAACCCTGTCTGCCACTGTGGCAGTTCAGTAGGAATTGAGTGTTTGTTAAAGACTGCTAAGCAGTCTTATAGCTGTTTGCAAACACTGTGCTCACTCTTGTTCACTTACCCCTTATTGCATGACAAGTCTGAATGTGCTCAGAAAGTCAAACACAGATGGCAGCCATTGCAGAAAATAAAACAATGAAAGACTCATTTCATTAAGCAGATAAATCATAAATCTAAATCTTCAAGTACTTGAACAACAACTAGGGGTGGGCGTAGCGATCTAGGTACAAATAACAGTGGTGGGCACCAGCCCGCTAAAGTGCAAATCCGCTAATTTTGGACCTAAATATTTCATTTGCGCTTTAGCGGTCTTACTAATTTTTATAATTCATAAGCGGATCCGCACTTTCTAAAATTAAAATGCAGTACCACTAATAACTAATTATCTACCAGTCATATTATCTTGAACAGCGGAAGGTAATGGCTGTCAATGAATCACAACGCACATGATCTATCCAAGAGCACCCTTCCCAGATAAACACACTTATTGGAAAGGTATATGTCCTTGCTGACAGTTGCTTTTGGTCACGGTTCTCATTTCCCACAATGCTTTGTGTCTGCTTATGTAGCAGGAAGGCAGTGCTGAATTCCCTGTCCCAGCTAAAACAGTTAACGTTTGTAATCCATACTAAAATTTTGTATGTATTGATTTATTTTACTGTACAATCGGAGCTCCTTTAAAAAAAAGTTTAAATGCTGGAGCTCAATACTTGACGTAATTGGTCGAAGCAACGGGGTTAGAGACGCAGGAATGATTTAAAGATGTTATGCTGATGAAGACTGACATCTAGTGGTCAACTGGAACAACTACATGGAAAACTTTACTCCGTGCTTTCGTTTCCTGTCACAAATCAAATCCATCGTGTACCCAGAATGCATCAGTTTTCCAATAAACAGTTTTAAAATTACTTTATTGATGCTTCTTTAATGAAAAATCTACAACAAACAAAAGAAAAAGACAAAGAAGTAGCCGAACTAGCAATCCTCAACAACTTTTTAATTTTTACACCAGGAGCTAAAGGTCTGTTTCAGGAACTCACATYCCCAGCGATCGGCGGTTGTAGGATTAAGCTTTAAAAAGGTTCATACACTGCTAGTTGGCAGTGTTGTGCACATATCRTACATGAATTATTGCCAGCTAGTGTCAAATTGAACTTGCGCTTTAAAATAAGCTTCCGCAAGTTTTTTCTATGGCATAAGTGCTTTTGAGGTTGCGGACCTAAATATTTACACAAGCACTTTAGAAATTGTGGAGCTAATTTTTGGAGTAGCACTGCCCACCACTGATAAATACTATCAATACCAAGATGAGCATCAGCTTGATACTAGCATGATGACATTGCTACTTTTGTTTCCCCTTTATTTACACTTAATTTCTCACAAAAAAGGAAAATAAAATCAGTAGTGCAGAGTCTCCCCATGTGCAAGGGAGGGCATTTACATTGTTACATTTATATATTTGCTACATTGTTACAATATTTTTATTTTGCACTAGTGACTTATTCTTAAAGGAAACAAATGCTTTTAAATCCTTTTTTCCCACATTAAAATCATTCAATTGGGGTCTATATAAAGTGGAACTGGTTTGGTCTGAATTCCTTTTTGTTGCAGCTCCACAAGCCCCTCGTTCACCCCTTTTCCGAGGTGCATCTCAGATCAACTCGTTTCAGCGGTCTCTTTGAATCCAAACGAGATGCTTCACGCCCTGGCCTCTTCCAGCTTCCAGAGGGTTATAGCTATGGCTATATAATGGCACAGAAACCTTCAATTTACAAATTAATTAAAAGACATCAAAAAGGGAAGATCCGTCCTTCCAGCTTTACATGTTGGAGCCAGAGTCTCACCCAGAGCCARAGAAAAATGAAAACGGACAAAWAGCAGTTGGTAAGTCCATATCTTATTTAGAAATTCAGCCACACAGCCGCACAGTTCTTTTGAGAGTTAACGTAGATTCAGACATTATGAGTCAACTCCCAGCTGGTTAAAACAGACCAAGTGAAATCTGATGCTAAGCGAGCTGACAGCAGCCTGTGGTCACTGTAATCCTCCCAGAATGAGATTATCTCTGTGTGAAAACACTGAATCTGGGTTTGAAGGGCACTCCCATCAGCTGTGTGTCTAAGACGAGACCTACTGAACCCCTTCCATTAATCTCTGTACACAGAAACACCCTAGCAAGTGATATATTAGCTAGCCACTGCCTGAACTTCAGCATCATTGCATTCAAGGCAAGTGAAGGATCAGCATTTCTGCATGAGCACCTTCGGGGGGAAAATGGACCATAAAGTAGGCGTTTCTCTTCTGCTTGTGCTGCTTTTAGGCCTCTGTACAGCTCAGCCTGAGGATGTAAGAAATTACACACTTAACACAAGACTGAGTTCATCTGTATGCATTTTTTAAATGATTCATCCAAAAAAAGAAAAGAGTCCAAATAAAAGTGCAAACGGTTTTAATATTTGTATTGTTTTTCGCAGGGTTCCAATGCTGGTAAGTGTCTGAACCACAGTGTTCCTGCACACTAAACCCATCAGATACCACACATTTGTTTTTGTAGTTTTAATTCTGAGAACAGTTTTTTTAGGAGTTTGCCTCTTCCTCTGTTCAGCAGAAAACCCAGCGGGTCAGTCTGACAAGGAGGGCATTTCCACAGTTATCCTCAGAATGAACAATGGTGAGCTTTCACTTATGTTATAAAGTTGGGTTTAATAAAGAAAAATAACTTATGGGGGAAAAAATCTACATTATCTAACTTTGAWATGACATATACTGTATTGTTATTAACAGCAACTTTGAATCGGCTGCATGAAGGAGATGTGGTCATTCCAACTACCAGGAATGGTTATAAGTGCCTCAACAAACAATACAGCTGCTTCTGGGCAAAGTCTCCGAATGGGCTTGTAGAAGTCCCTTTCATTATAGATGAAAAGTATGGTAGGTTTATTTAATTGTTATTAATTTATTTTTCAAGAGCATATTGTAAATTGGGTGGGTAAATCAACAAGTTTTTTCACTTAATGATGTTATATTATTTACAAATTTAGGTGAATCAGAAAAGAAAGTAATTCTGAAAGCCATGAAGGCCTTTGAACCAAAAACCTGCATTCGCTTTGTTCCTCATAAAAAGGAAAGGGCGTACTTAAGCATTGTACCAAACTTCGGGTAAGTAATGAGTAAAACGATATCGAAATGTCATTAAAATATTTGCTAAATAAAATAACTGAACTAGCTTAACAAATTATTATAAAGATGAGAGCAGCCTAAAGCTATTTTCAAATGAAAGATGTTACATGAAAGCTCAATAATTTGGTTAAAATTATTTTATGTCTTTCCAAATGGAGGTTGTTCAAAGAGCTTTGTACAACAGGTAAGATGTTAATCCTGTATAACTTTTATAAATCTCAAATCCAAAAACTTTGACCATTTCAGTTCTTAAAGAACATTAATCACTCCAATCGGCTTTTTATTTTTGCACAACGAACTAGCACACTGCTTTTGTTGACTCGAGAAAATAGTTTTTTCTTCATTACCCATCTCCATCAACTCTGCATTGTGAAGAAAAGATTAACAATGATGTTGAAGTTCATCAGCTGTTCAGAAAGCGACTTAGTAATCATGCACATGTCAGATAATGAAGACACTGATACTCTWGTTAAAGGTCCATTTCCACACTATTTAGTTTTGTGTCTTTGCCTTTCTTAGTTGTTCTTCTTTGGTGGGTCGTATCGGAGAAAAGCAGCTCGTGTCTCTGCAGATTCCTGGCTGCGTAGACCATGGRATCATCCAGCATGAGCTGCTTCACGCTCTGGGTTTCTACCACGAACACAATCGCAGCGACCGTGACAAATATGTCAAAATCAACTGGGACAACATAATGAAACGTAAGAATTTTGCAGCATCAGTTACTGGTTTAAATAAATCTATTTAAAGATTAAGGCAGGTGTGTGTGTGTGTGTGTGTGTGTATCGGGGGTGGGGTGGGGCTTAAAGTACAGTCAAGTGTACGCAGAGACATGCACAGATAGTCCTGCGGTGGTGATAGAGATTCTGCCATATGCCCTTTGGACCAAGCAAGTCCCTTTTGAAGTATCATTGTGTGAATGCTTCTATAGATTTTACTCTGCTGAGATAATTTTTTATTCTGCAAGTTTTCAGCACATCTTGCTCTGCAATTTTGGTACCATTTTTACAATTTATATATCGAAACAATCAGCTCCTTCAGGACATTCCTGCTATGACTTTTGGTCCTTTCGCAAAGTAATATTTTGTGAGATTTTTATTTTTTTTCTGCCATGTTTTCCTTGTTGAAAATGAATGGAGCCGTCTTTACCATCCTTAAAACTTTTCAACAATGTTCATAAATCTTTACTGGACTTTTTACCTTTTTTTCTGGTTCTGCTTTTTSAAAATTTTTGTGCTAGTTTAAGCTTATTTTGGCTTCTATTTAGCTGTTTATATTTTATTTTATTTTACTTTATTTGTAGATTTTTTTAGCCATCATTTCAACATTTTCTGCTATTGTTCTGCTAAGTTTAACTTTGTATGCTATTGTCAGCTTCTTTGGGCTATTTTAGGCTTTTTTTCTGCTAGTTTCTGTTTGTTTAGCTACATTTTATCAAATCAGAGCATTTTTCAGCTAAATTCACCATTTAAAAATAGCTTCTTATTGCTTAATTCAGCAAAAAGTTCTCATTCTGTTTTTGTGCCTATTTCAGCTTCCTTTTTAGCCATTTTAGGCTAATTTTAGTTAGGGTTTTTTTAGCTATTCAGCAAAAATCTTTCAGCAATAAGCATGCATACTGCATTTTCGCAGGAGATGCACATTCTCTAATTAACATTATTTTATATATTTTTGTTTGTACAGTTTACAATATGTTTCATGGTAGCATTTCTGGATTAATATGAATACAGTWCAAGCAATGCCTCAAAATGCATATTTATTTTGCTCTCAAATGAAAAGTCAGGAACACCCATAAATATGTCATATAGGTCTTGTGCAACAAGGTTTCACTGGAAGCCAGTTATTCATGCTAATTCCACCCCTCCAGTTTTCAGGTACTGTATGCTTATGATGTGTGAGGGGTTCAATGGACCAATGGGGGTACATAGTTCTTTTTTTAAAGACATATGCATTGTTTTGCTCATTTAAATGGTGAATGCACTTTTTCTCTACATTTCTTACAAGTATATTTTTTCTCAAATGATTTACTGGGGTCAATCTTCAGTTTTTTAAAAATTGGGGGAGCCCACTGTAAGATTCTCGCTCAAAATAACATTTTAATACTGATACTGTTTCTTTTTTAATCACCAGCTTTTTGGAAAGACTTCCAACTGATGGATACAGACAATCTTGGCACTAAATATGACTATTCATCTGTGATGCAATATGGAAAGTAAGTCACCGCATTTGTCATTCAAAATGAAATATATTTTGCCTATTGTTTTCCTTTAATTGTGTTTTTTTACCATTACAAATTTATAGAACTGCCTTTGGAACAAATGGATTACAATCCATAGTTCCTATTCCAGACCCCAACGTTCCCATCGGCCAGCGGGTGGGCATGTCTGACACTGACATTCTCAGGATCAACAAGCTTTACAAATGTTCAAATTCCAAAGGATAATCATTTTTAAAGTCTGTCTCATACAAATGTAACAACATCACATTGAAGCAATGCAATATCCTGAATTACAGCATGTTGTCATTTATGGTATGTGTTTTTGTCTTTAGTGCTTTGGTTACAGAAACATGATGATTCACAGATTGACTTGTAACAGCATGTCTTGCCTCTTGAGGAAGCCTTAGAAATACATTAAACAATATGAGGTATGAGCTTCTTTCTCTTGGGTTGTTTTGTTGTTCTTTTCTGTGAATCAACACCTTATTATGATGGAGRTTTGTGTGTCTGAATGATACTACGTGCTGTACTGTTACAGGCAGTTGCCCTGGTAGGGTCTCCTAAGGCAGTCTGGTCCTAAGTGACATGCCAGACAAGAAGTGATTCAGAATCATCATATAGAGAGACAAATGAGTCTAAAATGATGATTAATGGCACATTCCTACCATTACATGGTCAAAAACTTTGGATAGTGACTGGAAGAACGAGATTACAGATGCAAGCAGTTGAAATGAGTTTTATCTGTATGGTAGCTGGAGTCTCCCTCTAAGATAGGGTGAGCAGTTCAGTAATTGTGTAAACCATTCGGAAGAGAATGGCTGCTCCTCAAAACCTGGAAGACGCTGGAGAGACTATGGCTCTCGTTTGGCCTGGAAACACCTATCATCCCAGATAGCTGGAAGTGGTGGTTGTGGAAGGAAATGTCTTGGCCTCCTTGCTAAAGTTACTATCTCTGCAACCGTATGGCAGACCAAGGGTAATAGAAGGATGGTCTTGTTGAAATCATTTCTATTTGCTCTGTTGTGGAAAAGACAGAGGTTAAAGTGGGCAAACATCTTGTTTGAGATGGAGATAAGCTTCCACTTTTGAACTTTATGGAACTGTTTTTTATAGGAATGTAGTAGGAAGTGTAATACATTTCAAGGTATAAAAACAACCCTACCAAGTTGAAGTCACTACTTGCTCACTCCATTACCAATGTGTACTCACTTTATAGGCTAAGGTTGCCACTGAAAACTAGTTGGTAGCTCAAAATTGCAACAAAATGGCACATTTCCAGTTGCCTTTTTACAAGTTTCTCAGTTTTTGTAACTAGCAAGCTGGATGACCATAATTCAAGGAGCCAGATTTTGAAAATCAAGACCTTTTTGCACGCACAGCTTGCTGAAATGTCTTCAGGGTTGTGCACTTTATTTTGCTGCACACCTCCACCCACTTTGTACCCATTACTGCCCACTTTGACAGCCGCCTCCACATGAATGATTTTATCAACTGGAGTACACTTTAACAATGCAAAAAGGCTGATTTCAACCAGTGTTTTAATAAATATCATTTAAAGTACAAGTTGCCAACAATCACAGCCCTGTGAGATACTGGCTTAATGATAGAACTCTTGTTGATTAGATCAAACATCTAAAAACCATGATACAGGTTTTATTAACCTCACAACCAACATCAACTTCACAAATTAATTACAATCAAGATTCTTATGCTACGTTCACACCGAACACGTTTTGAGCGGCCAAAAAGCACAAAACGCCTCTCGTTGGACGCACTATGTTCAGATCGAAGAACGCACTAGTGTTCAGACCAGAACAAGCAGCAGCAGCGGGGTGTGGGAGGAACGTGTCCTTGGCAGGTGAATAAAGATAAAATAAAAGAAAATGGCTTTGATTTATTTACTAAAGAGCAAGCGAACGTTGCGCACAGCAGATAATTAACTCACCAGATGATTTAGAGGCGATTTGTTTGGTTAGTTTCGTCACTCCAGAAGCTGCCAGCTGACGGACTTTTTTTTTGGTCCCGAGCAGCTGATCCACATCGGTGCTGATATATCCTGTCAGAAAATCCAACTGAACATGGTTGATTTCAGGTAAAGATCTCCAGTCCGTCTGTTTTGGTTTTCAGTGGGGGACGCGTTGAGCGGCGAAAAGTTCAGATATTTGAACTCTGGTGGCAGCATGGGCGGCGGCGGCTTCCGCAGCACCGCATGCGTGGAAAATGCTCTACGCCCCTTCCGCCTTCCTTGTGCGCCGCCCAAAACGTACGTGACGCGACGCACGACCCCTAGAGGCGTGTCCTCATAGACTTTGCATGTGAATCGGCCGCTCCTGCCGCTCAAAACGCATTCGGTGTGAACGTACCAAAACTGTATGTTGGCCGTTTTTTCTCACAAGTTTGTTTAGTTAGTCACTTATACAAATCCAGAAATATATTTTTACTGAGACATCCTACAAGAATTATACCGTCTTTATCTTTTAGTTCAATGATTCACATTGGTATGTGCACCCCATGGTACCCCCTGTATACAGGGGGTACATGGAAAAATTTCCCAGGTGTGTAAAATTAGGACTGAGATTTGTAGGCCCCTATGATTTCCACAATGCAGAAATTGCAGACGGAATCACGGAATTAACACAAAATGGAATCCAGTATAAAACGTGGAATTTCATGGAATTTGCTCGTTTGGGTGAGTTTGACGTATTTTGGACACTGCTGTTTTCTGCACCTGCCATTACCTGGTTTATTTATTTAATTACTTATTCACTTCCAAGTAGACATGGGATGGTCTGAAATTATGATGGTATGATAACCTTGGGCAAAAATATCACGGTTTCGTGGTAAGACTGTATTATGATTACAACGGTAAAAATTTTGTTTTGAAATTTGTATTTCAAAACAAAAAAAGAAAACCTCTTTTCTATTATAATATTCATCTTTAATTATCGTTAGAAGCTGTTTTTAGATATCAGAGGTGTTCTGCTGAAATTTTATTTACCTGTGTGCATTTATACTTATGATTTTCAGCACCTAATGCAATTAGGTTATCCTGATAAAGTTTACATCTAACAGGATAAATGATGTTCCACTGCTTTATTAGTCAAGACAAATCAGTGTATACTGCACAAGTCTTTTGATTGAAGTAATGTATCATGCTGGGAGTTTTTATCTTGTTTTAAATAACAAAGGGGTTTTTGACGTAAAGATTATTTGATTATATTCACACAAAAACAAGAAATAACAACTATGAACGTGTGTTTATGAAACACACGTTCAGCTAACGAGCTGCTCAGCTAATGGAGGCATTCAGTTTTATCACCTTTCACTTAAAATTTATCAAATACACAATCCAACAACTCAAACAGTTTTGCAGACAAGCTGTGATCAGCGTATTAAGCCACAGCAACATGGCGATATGTTTCACAATCTAATGCTAAAGTTAGCTCGTTCATTTCAAGATAGCACAAACTTTACCTGGAGCTGCGATCATGTTAGATGTGTTGCCTCCACGGTCCACATTGCTGTTGTCTTTACGGCATCCTAAGTTTTTTCATATAACTGGATTTTTATTTTTGACAGGGAAAAGTTAGGGGAACTCTGTTAGCCACCATCACAGAACCCCYGCAGAGCTGCGAGTGCCGACAGGCAGTCTGCTGCAGAGGGAAAGTCTGAAGCTGCACAGACCAGAGGAAAACCGTAAGCATTGTATGATAGAAAATTTTAGTGGTTTTGAAACCGTGACGTTTTTATATCACAGTATACTTTGAAACCGGTATTCGGCCCATGCCTACTTCCAAGGCAACATTTTTATCTTTATGTTTAATTTCAGTAAAAAATAAATAAAATGCCTGAGAATTAAATGTTCTAGGGGATTAAATAATTTAATAATCAGTTGTAGTACATTATAGTTTTGGAGAAACATCATTACGTTTGACTGAGGGGTACTGGTGGTGTGACAAAATGGCTCAGGGGGCTACACAAGTCTAAAAAGGTTGGGAACCACTGTGTATAACACTACCTTGAAACAAGCTTGCATATGCACTTTTAATTTTGTTCTACAAAATATATATATATTTACTTAAATGTTTTTTTTTTCTTATTCCCCTTGATAAGACAAAAAACATTGGCAAAAAAAGTTAAAAACATGCATTTAATTAGACAAAAATAGTACTGCAGAGAAATGGTCTGTTTCTATTTTGGCACCTATAATTAAGTTTGAGATTTACTCACTTGTGAGAAGTACCTTGTTTTATCAAGAGTGAATCAGTTCTGCAGTATACTCACTGAGCCAAACTTTGCAGAAACAAGCCTCTGCGGAGAAGCATAGATGTGGCTGGACATAAGATGAACCTCTGTTCTTCTACTCTCCAACACTGTAAATATGCTTTTTTTTCTACATGRCCACACTCCACACTTTTGGAGATGTGCAGTATTTTTTYGTTTTCTTTTTTTTACTTCTATGCAGTGTTTTTTTCTGCTTCCTACCCAGTGAACCAGAGGAATGTTGGGTGTTGAAAGAAGAGCACCAGGAGAGTTTCAGGGTAACAAGAGAAGATGCCAACGAGAGAGAACAAATTCTTATTAGGCAGATTTCCCTCCTTCCATGATATATGAGTGCACCACCACTCATGGCAGAACTGCATGCATTTCTCTTGTGTTCTGGCTTAAACACAGCTAAAGGAGCTGTGGCACTAAGCAGTGCTYGGAGAAAGCCAGCAAGTCGGTATGGTTCAGATGGACAGAGGAATTGAATGTTTCATAGACTAGTTTCAGTTCATATCAATCGTTCCACCCATGAAATATTTAAAATCTACTTGTTTATTGAAATATTTAACACTAAGGCTCTATTTATGCTCCAAGAATCTGCGGGAGATTTTYAGCCCATCTATAAATCAAAGTCTTTCTGCAAAGCTTGATTACAGATCAGACTGAGATCCCGAGCCTGGAAGTAAAAAAAAAACAGGCCATCGCTGGAACATGCTGGGTTTCAAAAGTAAATAAAACAAAACAAAAAATAAACTAATTCAAAAATAAACAAAAAAACATTGAATGTTTATTGAAATTGGACTTCGATGTGGGTAATCATTTGGAACTTTGAGGATGAGAAAAAAAATAAAGCACACTGAATGAATATTTTAAATTTTGTTTGACAATCTTCTTTCTTGGTACTTAATAAAATACTGACAATATGAAATAAAAACCTGATCTATTACTWAACATTTAGTCTTGCTGAAAATTGATAAAAACCATAAGAAATGTACAGCAAAGCTTTTACAGATGATCTTTGACCAAACTTCAWAAAGGGTAGTGGGCATATGACCAGCAGGGTCTCGTGCAGAATGTCTGTTCTAATGAGAGCAGGCCAAGCAGAGCTAAATACAGTCTGATGTGTCTTGTCACCAGTAATATACTGGCAGGCCATAACCACTGGCTAGCTGAATGGTTTTTACCACCATGTTGTTAACACAGATCAGTGTACCTGCCTCTCTTCAACACAATGCGCTGCAGCTCTCTGCCTTATGCAGAACCAGAAGGATAATTAAAACATGTGCTGTGCTGCATKTCTAGCTGGACCAACCTTGTACAGGGATTCAGCTTCCCGATTAACAAGTAACCTTTCTTCACCTTCTAAAACMTTTTTTAGAAAACTTAAATTAGACTTCAAATTTCTTACTTTTAAAGGTTGCGCAAGTCACTAATTTAAAATACTTTTAGTTTAATTTAGCAAATATGTAACGGTCCAAATAAATGTGCATTTTGTACTCAGCACTGGTTCTGGAAAAAAAATGTTAAAAAATATAAAATAAATTGAACCAGTGTTACCAATTTCCTTTTTTCCTGTGTGACCGTTGCCTGACCTTTATAAAAAATGAAACACATGAATTACTTACGTTCTTCACATGTTCTCACATGTAGAAAGCCATGGAACCCCTTGAGAGTACATGCACATGTTGAAAATGTTCCAAAATCAAACATTAAGCATGTCCAACTCATGGTATTATTTAATGCTTTTAAAAGTGATGAACTTTATTTCCTCATATAGAGCTAATGTGTTTTTTTATGAGGCTCTAAATCAGTAATGGTTATTGGAGTAGAAAGTTTTTAAAAAGCCAGAAAAGAGAAAGAATGAACTGTAAAAATAATAAACTGACAAAGTTATGAATATATTATGGATTTTTAAATGCCCAATGCTGATGCCAATTATGTTTTAAATCATGCAGTCGATTCTTAATTTAAATAAACTCTTTCTGTCGTTCCTAAATATCATAGTTCAATGTTTATGAACAAAACAGTGAATCAAGAAATTTAAGATTTAAGGTCTTTTTGAGGGCATGCAATTTTTGGTATGAGAAGAAATGTTGGCTCTGTATCAAATTTTAAGAAATACTTTGATTCATTGCCTGCTGCTCATATGTAAGATGCTTAAAATACACAGACCAGTAGCGATGATGCCAACAAGGCAGTGACTTTGGTGAAAGGGTCAACATCATGCAAAATAAATTTTTCTGAGTTTTATTTCATGTTCATCCTCTCATCAAAAACATGCACAGAGTCTTACTTAGACTCATTCATGCATGTTTGAGAAATACTGTAGTGTCCTGAGGCAGCCAAGCAGGGGAGCAAAAACGACCGGTTGGGTCTAGAACCGCCTTTTGGGACCAGCTCCTCCTCCCCACCCTGCACATCACTCCTGCAGGCTCTCAGCAGCACCTAAGTAAACAAACATGTCGTCTGCAGGTAGTGTTGCCACCCGTCCCTCAAAATACGGAATCGTCCATTATTTAGCCACTAAATGTTGCGTCCCATTTTGAACCAATACGGGACACGATTTGTTCCGTATCTTCATAATATGTCCCTCTCATTCACACCAGCACAAGCTCCTCCTCTCCTCTGCGCCTGCGTGTGCCTCTGCTCTCACTGTGACACACACACACACACACACACACACACACACACACNATTTTTAAATGTCCAATGCTGATGCCAATTATGTTTTAAATCATGCAGTCGATTCTTAATTTAAATAAACTCTTTCTGTCTTTCCTAAATATCACAGTTCAATGTTTTTTTTGATCAAGGTCTTTTTATTAATGTTTTTTAACAAACCACAAAAAAGAACAGACTTACAAAAACAGAAAACAAAACACACACACCCAAAATCCCTCCCATCTCTCTCATCCCTGCCCTCCTATACCGGATCCATTGAAATAACAAAAATCAATCTAGTATTCATCAAATGATACAATGGACAGGTTTGTGTATAATGAAACAATATTTAACCTTTACACAAAATTATCTGCTGAAATTTTTTCTACATAAGATATAAATGGCTGCCAAATGTCAAAAAAATTGTTTACAGATCCCCTAAAAGTATATATAATCTTCTCTAAATGAATGTAAGACATAACTTCTCTTAACCAATGACCATATACTGGAGGATGTGGATCCTTCCAACGAAGAAGAATAAGTCTTCTAGCCAGTAGAGAGCAGAAAGCTAACACCGTCCTCTGATGTTCACTGAAGGAAGCTTCTGCTGGTGCCACCCCAAARAGAGAGATGAATGGTGATGGATGAACAGTTCGTCCAAATAGTCCTGAAAAGGTGTCAAAGATGCCTTGCCAATATCCTTGTAACTTTGGACAAGACCAGAATGTGTGCAAAGTGTGGCAGGAGATTGTCCGCAGTGATCACACGACGGATCCAAGTCCTTTTTGAATTTGCACAATCTGTCCTTAGACCAATGTAAGTCCTGGTGAGGAACACTGGCATGCTCTGAAATAGATAAAGTAATTTGGGCAATACTGTCATTTTGATCACGTTGATTCTACCCCCCAGGGATAGAGGCAGGGATGCCCATGTAGCGATGTCCTTCTTAAGGTTCACCAGGAGAGGCAGAAAGTTTGCTGTTTTAAGATCTTTGTGACTGTGAGTAATCCAAATACCAAAGTATTTAAATTTGGCAGAGCTAATTTTGAAAGGAACTGGACCCATATGCTGCTCTTCTATTGGAGTCACAGGCATCAATTCACTTTTTTGAAGGTTGACCTTATACCCAGATATGTTTCCGAACTTCATTGCCTGCTGCTCATATGTAAGATGCTTAAAATACACAGACCAGTAGCGATGATGCCAACAAGGCAGTGACTTTGGTGAAAGGGTCAATATCATGTAAAATAAAATTTTCTGAGTTTTATTTCATGTTATAATGTTATCCTCTCATCAAAAACATGTCCAGAGTCTTACTTTGACTCATTCATGCATGTTTGAGAAATCCTGTAGTGTCCTGAGGTAGCCAAGCAGGGGAGCAAAAATGACCGGTTGGGACTAGAACCGCCTTATGGGACCAGCTCCTCCTCCCCACCCTGCACATGACTCCTGCAGGCTCTCAGCAGCACCTAAGTAAACAAACACCAATGTCATCTGCAGGTAGTGTTGCCACCCGTCCCTTAAAATACGGAATCGTCCTTTATTCAGCCACTAAATGTTGCGTCCTGTTTTGAACCAATACTGGACACGATTTGTTCCGTATTTTCATAACATGTCCCTCTCATTCACACCAACACTTAAAAAGCCCTTCCTCTCCTCCCGTGGCTCCTCTCCTCTGTGTGCCACCTGTGTGTGCCTCTGCTCTCACGGTGACACACACACACACACACACACACACACACAC